CATGCTGTAGACGCAAGCATTTCAGGGTTGGTTGACGAAGACCACTACTTACTTTGAAATAATGAATATTCAAGCAAACTGTACATCTTTCAGTTGGGGCTGCTGGCATCAGCACTCCGGTCTTAAAAGAACAGCTCTCGCGGTCAGCGTCTTCTAATATCACAGTGGAATATGCGCATTCTGTGGTGAAAAAAAAGCAACTGTCTCCAGCATGAATTCGAGGTTTCGGTACTGTTTTCGGATTCGCAGATAGGATACGCACTGTACTATCAGCAGTTGTACACGTTGAACACTCAGAATTTATAACACCAGGGTACAAACTGCCGCCTCTGCTTACGAAAACTGGCGAGCACAAATATACAGATTCTTTGAAATCATATAGAAGATAGTAAAAATAAAATACGAGCTGGTTTAGTAGCATTTTAAAGTTTGTTTATCAATGCACCCAAGAGATAGGATTCGTTTCTGTTACGATCTACAGTAGTATTGACACTTGCCTATCTAATTGCTGTCTGTTGAACTCAAATTGCCTGTTTTCTCGCGAAAAGATAGAAGCTGTAACATCTTCAAAACGCGCATGAACTGGTCATTAAATGACAGCCTTCAATGTTGGTGTATACCTTCCGTTGTACACTTGAGGCGTGTACTACATGTACGTCTTAGGTTCCAGCAACAGTGTGGTAGTTGATCCACCAGGCTGTGTATTTCTCGTAGAGCTTCTCGTACCTCAGTTCGGCGGCCCCTCCAATCTCGAGACGCTTTGCTAATGAAGTGGGGGTTTCTCCAAGCTTCATCATATGCTGGAAAGCCTTCTCCAACGCATTCGCCTTCCACTTGGCCCAGCCGTTCTTCGCCTTTGTGATCAGGTTTGTAAGCGTGGACGGGATGAGCCCTCTCTCCTCATCGTTGGCATCCAAATCGTTGTTAGCTGTCGTCAAATCTTGCTTTGCATTGCCTCGCAAGAATCGCTTGGCGGCATCACCGTCCTCAACGAAAAGTAGACGGGTCACGATGTCGATATCCTTCATCGTCAGCTGCGTAACCTTGGGCTCATCCGAGTCAGCAACGGCGGAGACAGCGTGTGAGCTTGAGATGAAGGTGATTAAGGTCGCCAAGAGGACCCATAGCAACAACCGCATGCTTTTATCTGTGAGGAACGAGACTGAGGTGTGAGGTCCAAAAGCAAACTGAAGTCCAAAGACTACGGCCGCCGTCCTAACGGTGCGCCTAGAGAAACCTCGTCTACCAGCAAAGCATGATCTGCTATCTTGCGTGCAGAAAAACTTGGGATGGTGTTGCTGCCGATCCTTCTTCGAAACCAGAGGTGTCTTCTTCCTCTATACATCAACTTCACGAGCTCGATATTACACAACGAAATGAGAGTGAAAGTGTCAACGACAACCTATTAGAATAGTTTCGAATATTCGTATGCGAGTCAAACTTATGCAAAGGATGCTGGTTATGAGCAAAACTGTAATATTGTACCAGTACAACAACTAAGCATATATTTTTTGTATCATATTATCCGAAAAAACAGTCAGAATTGAGAAAAATAAGGCCTAAAGGACGTCTGTCTACCATTCCAAACGCACGAGGTACCTTCAAGAGGTTGTAGTTTTGCGCATGTTGCTGTCCGCCACAACGACAACTGTGTACACAATCTTCTGATCACAACCGGTTGTACAATCTCAGATATTGAAAGACGGTCCAAGTGACAAGGGCAACGATTCGTCGCGGACGAACAGCATACATGTGCATCTCGACATTGAGTCCATCAAGAAGCAGTTGTATTTGTTGCATCTGTTCTATCTAAAAAAGTTAATCGCGGTTTAGTCACTGTTA